CCGGCAGCGGAGAACGGCTCAAAGCGTCAGCGTGGGGAATGGCTTTCCCCGGGCGGTGTAGCAGTTGATAACTGTATGTGGCTAGAAACTCTGACCAACGGGTCATCCTTGGTGATAAGATGTGGGGAGTAGGCTTGTCCCCCACTAATATGCCAAGCAATGGCTTGTGGTCGGTTATTATAGTAAACGGCCGTCCATAGACATATTCATGAAAACGTTTAATAGCGGCTACAATAGCAAGAGCCTCTTTATCGAGTTGGCTATAGTTCCTTTCAGTCTTTGATAATGTTCGGGAAAAGAAAGCAATAGGTGCCTCATTGCCGTTTGGTAGAACATGGCTTAAAATGGCTCCCACCCTGAACGGCGAGGCGTCACACGTGACAGTTAAAGGCAAAGTCTCGTTATACTGCATTAATACAGCGTCGGAGGTCAAGAGATCTTTTACTTGCTGGAACGCTCGTTCTTCCCGTTGTCCCCAGACCCAGGAAGCTTTCTTGTCTAGCAGACGATGTAGGGGCTCAGCTACAGTCGCCTTCTGGGGCAAGAAGATATTATAAAAGTTAATGAGTCCCAGGAAGGCTTGAAGGTCTGTTTTATTCCTAGGTCTGGGGGCGTTTTTTATGGCTGTTACTTTTTTTTCGGTAGGATGAATTCCCTTTTTATCAAGGAGGTACCCCAGGAATTCAACCCTCTCAGTACAAAGTTGACACTTGTCTTTCTTTACCTTTAACCCGGCGTTTTTGAATTTTTGGAGAACCGCTCTGAGTCGGGTCTCCAACACGTCTCTAGTGGGGGCAGCTATCAAGACATCATCGAAATAAGGCACGACCCCTTTTATGCCTTGCAGCAATCGCTCCATCAGGCTTTGAAAGATGCCTGGTGCTACACTCACGCCGAACTGGAGCCTATTACATTTAAACGCACCTCTGTGCGTGACGATAGTCTGGGCCTCAGCAGTCTCTGCATCTACGGGTAGTTGCTGGTATGCCTGGGCTAGGTCCAATTTTGCAAAGATCTTTCCGCCGCTCAGGGAGTGAAGAAGATGTTGAACCACCGGTACAGGATAAGCGCTTTGCTGAAGCGCGTGGTTTAGGGTGGCTCGGTAATCCCCACAAATTCTTATCAATCCATCCGGTTTTATGGGTGTTACAATCGGGGTTTCCCATCGAGCGTGATCGATCGGTTCTAACACCCCTTGGGCTATCAATTTGTCCAATTGTTCATCAATCTTTGGCTTGAGTGCGAAAGGCACTTGACGAGGCTTAAGGCGTATGGGCGCAACATCGGGGCTGAGGCTAAACGATATGGGGGACCCCTTGTACTTGCCTAGCTTCTCTGTGAATATGTCCTGGAACTCCTGGACGAGGGCGGCTTCCCAGTCACTGCTCCCGGTCTGGTGAATGCCGGCTAGTTCAATCCCCAATGGAGCGAACCACTGTAAGACCAACAAACTGCGCCGGTCTCGATCGACGATGGTAAGAGGCAGAGTTGCGGTGTGGTCTTTAAAGGAGACCTGGACGTGGCGGGACGCAGCAACGGGAATTCGGTTTCCCTGGTAGTCCCTTAATATGACTTTCTGGGTGCTGAGGTCTTGACGATGGATGTCAGGGATCAGCTGTTTGAAAGTCCTCCACAAGACCATTGATAGGGATGAACCCGAGTCTACTTCCATTATGCATGGACGATTCTCAATGGCGACCCTCACTCGGATCTTCCTTGCATCCAAGGATGAGGCGTGACTGATGGTGATGGTTTGATGCGTCTCTTCTCGTCTAGCTGATGCAGCAGGCGCTCGATTTCTGTAGTGATAGTGGTTCCATTGGTGATTCAGGCGATCCCGGTTCACGGGCGGGCTACCCGTAGCTTGGTGGGAGTTGTTCTCTCTACGGATTGGACTTGACCCCCGCTTGCTCCTGCAGACCTTGGCGATATGGCCCCTCTTTCCACAGGAACGGCAGAGTGCGTCGAGGAATTTGCAATCAGCTCGCGGGTGATTTGCCCCACAACCGGCGCACTGACGTGAAGGTTTTTGGCTCCGCTGGTCTCGCTGGTCGCGCTCTGACCGGAGTCGGTTGACCTCTTCTTCCTCACTATCCGATGGGGATTCGAGATTCATGGTGCGCCGTTGTTGAGTGCTTTTCTGGGAAAGGCGAAGTATCATTGGCGAGTTGACGGAGCAGTGCGTTGGTGCGGCGCATTCGAGCAGCCGATTTCCTGGTTGCCTCTGCTGCAGTAGCGTCAGCGATGACATCTGCAAGATCGATGTCCCCTTTGGCCATGATCTTGCTCTGTGCCGTATAGTCATCTAATCCCAGAACTATGCGGTCTCGCATAGCTTCTTCGAGGTTTGAAAAACCACAGAGTCCACCCAGGTTCTGGAGGTCAGCGATGAAGTCTCCAACGCTCTCACCTTTCCGTTGGTCCCTCTGGTAAAATTCGTGTCTTCTGATGAGGGCACCGCGGGTGCATAATGGGCCCGAAGAATAGGAGCGAGGTTATCCCAATCCATTGACTTAACCTCTGCAGGCTTTGCAAGTGCCTTAGCCATTTTGAAAATGGCAGGCCCGCAATGGGTCAGGAAGACCGCTCGTTTCTTGCCAGGCAAAGCGTCCTTCAGGTTGTTGGTCTCCAAAAACATCTGGAACCTGTCCATATACGAGTCCCAGTCTTCGTTAGCAGGGTCATATGGAGCGGGTGGTATGGCGCCGCTGGCCATCTTGCCGTTGTTGACGCTCTTTCAGCCACGTGCTCTGTTCGGTGCACAGCGAGTGCTCAGTTGGCTCTATTGTCTCCGTATCCCATCCTCATCGCCAGTGTTAGATCTGGAGGAGTGGGCGCAATAACGGAGACAAGGCATCGGGTAGTGACTCAACTCTTTAATAGTGACTTCAGAACAGAGCAAAACACTTGGGCAGCAGCAGCTCTTTTATAGAGCTGGCTGCTGCCGCAATAACCAATGGGAACGAGTTTAACCGCACTTAGTCTTCCAATCAGGGATGGCCGCTGTCAGCCAATCAGGTTAGCCAAAGGCAGCCAATCATGATCGCTTACTTGCGGACCAATCAGAACTGCAGGTTTACGAGCCTGCAGTTGGAGCGGAGCTCGAAGAGTTTTTAATAATGAGTTTATTTAGTTAGTTCGTAACAGTTCTAATATCTAAAGGGCTGCTGCAAACAAGAATGGGTCAGCATATTCTTCAAATCACCTGGAGGCAGGACAAAAAGCAATGGATGAAAACTAATCAAGAAGAGAACCAATCTAGAATTAAGGAGAATTTTCCTGACAGTTGGAACAATTAATCAGCGGAACAACTTGCCTTCAGAAATTATGGGTGCTCCAACACTGATGGTTTTTAAGAAGAGATTAGACAACCATTTGTCTGAAATGGTATATGGTTTCCTGCTTGAACAGGAGGTTGGATCTAATTCCAACAACTTTCAACTCTGTTAACCACTTCTAATTCTGTTAACCTGCCCAAAATTTGCAAAACAGTTTGGGGGAGGGAAACACGCGTGAGTGCAGAGAAAGAGAGAGAGAGACAGACAGACAGACAGACAGACATGTACACCAGCTTGGTATAGAGGCTAAGGTATCAGGCTAGCAACCTGTAGGTTCTAATTTTGCCTTGATATGTCCAGACAGTCTCCAAGAATGAATGGAAGAATATGATTATATATGCATTCCTTTGTTTTACACACACACACACACACACACACACACACACACACATCAATCTGAGAAGAGGTAAAATGGACAATTTAAAACCCACACACATATACTCCTACATGCAACTAAATACAACGCTCAATTCTGAAAAATATGTATATAATAATGTTTAAATGTATTTTGAAAAGTGATACTGAAAGAATTAAGCCATCAATCAATGAAGTTCCCCTAAGATAAGTGCCAGTCTTTCAGGGAAATTGGAAGATGACAGAGAATCCTGAGATAAGTGCTTCTATTTATAACAGCAACATCCCTCACTTGACCTTAGAAATAATATCGTACCAGGAGGAGCAATCGGGTTTGAAGCATTAAGTATGAAATATGCATATGAAATATAAGCATATGAATGCATATTGTATGAAATATAAGCAAACAAGTAAATAATCCTTAGCATTTAGAAGGTATTAAATGTTTTATATACATTAATTTGGATATTATATTGCAAAATAGAGTAGCATTCCCAGTGTTACAGATTAGGTCGGAGTAGAAAAAGGCTATGAGAAAGGCCTGCCTAAATTTCCATTATTAGTTTGCATAAGCCTGCAGTTGGGCTAAGGTCTGAAGCACATATTTCTTACAATGGCATACGTGTAGTCCTTGATTTATGATCATTTGTTCAGCAACCATTTAATTTATTATGATACTAAATGAAGGGACTTATGATTCCTGACTGAAATTATTGCACACTGAATCACCTCTGTGATCACAATTGCAATCAAGATGCTTCAAAACTCGTTCACATTTACAAGTGGTTTCAAGTGTCACACAATAACGTGATTGCCACTTACAATCTTTCTTGCTAGTTCTCCAGAAAATTAATGCAGGGAAGGCTGAAAAGTCACTGCTGCCCAGCAAGAAATTTTCTCTAGTCCCTGGCTGAAAAAGGTCCACACCTAAATCCGAGCAGGATTTTCAGCCACAAAACATTTTTAGACCAGAGTGTAAAGAATTCTGAAAATTTTCACTTCTGAGGCTGAAAATCCTCTGTGGCTGAAATCCAAGCAGGATTTTCAGCCATGGAGGATTTTCAGTCCCGGAGTGGAGAGCCCAAGTGATTTTTCAGTCCCAAGAAAAGCCTCTTGACTCTGGAGCTAATCTTAATACTGTATAACAACATCTGCAATCAAATCCAACTATGAATTGATTCTAATCAATCAATTTTCATAACACTGTCCTACCTCTATTTCAAAAAAGTAGACTTACTTTTTAGCAGAAAATGAAATTTCAAAACCATCTTGTTCCATTTTAATCATTTCATTTTATCTGAAACTTACTGAAGTCCACTGCAGGTAGACAGGGCAACATATGAATCTGGATTTTCTCTGATGTGACCTTGATAATAACAGTGTTCTCCTCCCTGCAATTAGAACAAACACTATGAATTCATTTTATTTCCACCATGTCACAAAGGCAGTTCTCATTCAACCCCAGAATAAGTTGTAAAGTCAGATAAGCTGAAATAAATGGCTGAATAATACAGCAATATTTAATGGGCCTATATATCCTGATCAAAGGATTGGCCCAAACTAAATAATTGCCTTTTGTTGTTGTTGCTGTGCTCACTCTTGCTTAGAATGCTGGCTTCTAATTGAAGAAGACAGGAAGGGCAGAAAATTCTGGCACGAGTTCTGTTCTTTCTTTTTTTGCTTTTATTTATTAATCAAATTAGTCACCATCCATATCACTAAGTAACTCTGAGTGGTTTACAAGTAATAAATGTTTAGACAGTATACACTTTTAAACTTACACAATTTTTAATAGATGGGTCTAGTGAAAGAATTAAAGAATTCTTTCAAGTGGATTTTACTTACGTATAGATAGTCCTTGACTTACGATCACAATTGAGCCCAAAATTTCTGTTGTTAAATGAGACATTTGTTCAGTGAATTTTGCCCCATCAACCTTTCTTGCCACAGTTATTAAGTGAATCACTGCAGGTCTTAAGTTAGCAACACAGTTGTTAAGTGAATCTGGCTTTCCCCTTGACTTTGCTTGTGAGAAAGTTGCAAAAGGGTACATGTCCTTTTGGACAAAGCAATGGTCATAAGTATGAACCTGTTGCCAAGCACCTCAATTTTGGTCACATGGCCACGGGGATGCTTCAAAAGTCGTAAGTGTGAAAAAATGATCATAAGTCACTTTTTTCAGTGCCGTTGTAACTTTGAACAGTCACTATATGAAGTGTTGTAAGTTGAGGGCTGTCTGTACTTTTTTTTCCACAAAAGTTTATAAAACTTCACAATAAATGTTTGCAACTAAATTGAGACAGAAAAATAGTTCTGCACATCTTCAAAACAAATAGATCCTAGATTGAATATGTCAGTGGATTTCAGTTTGAAAAACACTGTTTTAAATACTTTTTGCCTGCTTGTAGTAACTGCTTTCCAAAGCAACATTCTAACACAATCTTTGCTTATAATTCAAAAGTTTATTTCTCTCCTTGCAATGGTCATTTATCAAATCAGCTTTGAAGACATGTGCAGGTTTTCAACAATTTTTTTTTCAGATAACAAAAATCACCCTGCAGAAGCATAACCTATTGTTATAATAGAAATATGATTGGTTTGAAATATATTAACTTTGTCACTAGTTAAGTAATGTATTCATGCTTCAACTCATATAGTATATAAAATAATCTTCACTGGTTGTGAATCCAGTGAAATATAAACAAACCTTAAATGAATCAATATTGTATTAATAAGTATTAATAAACATTAAGTAAATACATTTAAATTAAAAACTAACTTTATGCAAAAACTAACTATATGTAGAATAAATCTCTATTTCCCTAAATATATTAAATTGCAATCAATAAATATGACATAAAAATCTCGCTTTCCAAGTTGAGTCTTCCTATCCTAAAAACTTCATTTCCAGATGGAAGTAAAATGACACTTTCCATCATTCTTATGTAGATGTCCTTTAACAATTTGTTTCCCCAAGGAAAGCAGAGGCAATCAGTGACATCATTTGTTAGTCACAATGATGCCCTGACCTAGCCAAGCTAATGAGTTGTCTGATATTTCTGAAATACCAACAGATGATTAACCTTTTTGTTTCCTAGCAGGCAGCCATTGTAAGGGAGCTGGGTTGAGAAATCATTGTTCTCAGAATGGAGGTAAGATCTAATTGAGGTAAAATCTAATGCTTAGATCTGGCCAATGGGGCTGTCCTGGAAATAGCAAGGGGCCAGCCTGCAGTGCCTCTTCCAGCAAAAACAGAACTCATGAAGGGTGCGCATGGGGGCCCCAAACTCCGTTTTCACTGGCTGAAGGTTGCAGGAGGCTGTTGCAGCTGAAAACAGAGCTCGGGAGCCCTTTTCCTGTCAGAGATCTCAGGCCACCACAGGCGCCCCCAACACAAGTGACATCATGCTGGCCATACCCACCCTGACCTTCCCCACCCTGGGCCTCCTGATGTGTCCCTCAATTAAATTGAGTTTGACACTCCTGGCCTAGAAATTCAACACATTAGGGAAACATTATTCCACTTTAATCAAACTTCAAGACTCATCTTGAAGTAATGCAGAAATGTAGAAAGAGATGGCTTATAGAAATAACTTTTAAAAAATCATAAAGATGTGGCAGAATTGTTGAATGGCATCAAGAGAGAAAGTGAATAGGGCTGTAATCTGCTGAACATGCTGTTAGCCATGTTTATCAACTAGCCTTTTTTAATTTCTCTCCTTTGCTCTCTTTTTCTATTGATATTTTTCATTGGGTAAATTTGGGATATATTTAAGACTGAGACTGATGAATGGGAAGTTATGTACTTATCCAATAAAGAAGATCAATGAGAGATGCCATTTGATAATTACACACTTGTTATTTTATGGCAATCAAAAAGGGAATGTTCAAAATGTTTGTGTCTCATTGCAGAATTCTATTCCCTTCCAATTACAAATGATGCAAGAATTTATTAATTGTTTATGTTAGGTGACAACATATCAATTTACCCAATTGTTTGAATGTATGCTACTGTTTGGTGGCTTGTTTTATAATATAGTTCCATGGTTCTAACTTTGTAGTTATGTAATTACAAAATTACATAATTGAGTAGCTTGAATAAATCTCTAAGCAACAATAAATGTGACAAGTAGATCTCTGAGACATATACATATAATCATAGATATCTATTCTACATATTTTAAGTCACAATAAGTATTTTGAATAAGAAGATATGTAGGAAACTGCAAAGCTTAAGTGAGATGTCTGCATTGGTTTTTATTTGGAAAGTCATCTAGTTTTTATCAAAAGCATAATATATAAATCATTATTCTAAATATCAGATCTGAAAACAAGGCATAGTCAACTGATATTCAGGAACAATGCAAATACTGCATCAACTCTAGAAAAGTGTCTTTAATGACAAGGGAGTCCTGTGCTATTGATGTTTTATAAAGTCAGCTGCAAGGCATGGAAAGATGGCTTTCTGACATCTGGCAAGAAAGATACATCAGCATCTGCTCAGAAAGCTGTTTCTTGATTGCTTTGCTTAAGAGCAAAGAAACTGGCTTTGAATAGCACCTACAAAAAGGGAAGAAAATTAGGGACTGTTTTTCTTGCCTTCTTGATTCTAAACAAATCATAATAATTACTAGCAGGAAATGCAAACTCTAAGGCAGAATTCTTGACTTAATTTACTCTCTCAACTCTCTGACATGTCACACGCACAGATGCGAGTCAGTGTACATCAAAACATGTTATATACAAACATGTATAAACCAACCTGGTGTTTTCTGAATATGTTACAACCAGGGGTGGGATTCAAATTTTTTAACAACCAGTTTTGTGGGTGTGGTTTAGTTGGTGGGCATGGCAAACTCAATATCACTCACATCGAGGTACGCATCTCCTCGCCTGGCCTCTCATGATTGTGGGGATGCTGCAACAGTTGTAAGTGTGAAAAATGGTCATAAGTCACTTTTTTCAGTGCTCTAACATCGGTAGTTATGAAAATCATTGAAAGGCTAGTGCTGTCCCACCTGAAAACCATCACGGATCTGCTATTAGATCCCATGCAGTTTGCATACGGGGCAAATAGATCGACAGATGCTGCTGCTAATATGGCTCTGCACTACATCCTACAACACCTTGAATCTCCAAATACCTACGCAAGGGTCCTCTTTGTAGACTTCAGTTCAGCATTCAATACCATCATTCCAGACATTCTTCTAGCTAAACTAAATCAGCTAGCGTACCTGAACATACTTGTAAGTGGATCATAAGCTTCCTAATAGACAGGAAGCAGCAGGTGAAGCTAGGCAGGATCACATATGATACCTGCACAATTAGCACAGGGACCCCCCAAAGCTGTGTTTTCTCCACTTCTCTTCTCCCTATATACCAATGACTGCATCTCAAACATCAGTTGCTGTTTAACATCTGTTAAAATACTGAAGTTTGCAGATGATACAACAGTGATTGGTCTCAATTAAGAAAATGACAAATCTGCATACAGACAGGAGGTTGTACAACTTGCCTCATGGTGTAACTGGAACAATCTGAAACTGAATACACTCAAAACTGTAGAAATGGTGGTAGACTTTAGAAGAAACCATCCCATACTACCACCTCTTACAATACTAGACAACACAGTATCAACAGTAGAGACCTTCAAATTTCTAGGTTCTATTATATCACATGATCTAAAATGGACACCTAACATCAAAAACATCATAAAAAAGGCACAACAAAGAATGTTCTTTCTGCGTCAACTCAGAAAGCTGAAACTGCCCAAGAAGCTGCTGATAACAGTTCTACAAAGGAATTATTGAGTTTGTCATCTGCATCTCTATAACTGTCTGGTTTGGTTCTGCAACCCAACAGAACAGACACAGACTTCAGAGGATAATTAGGACTGCAGAAAAAACAATTACTACCAACCTGCCTTCAATCAAGGACCTGTATACTGCAAGAGTCAAAAAGAGGGCTGTGAAAATATTTACAGACCCCTCACATCCCGGACATAAACTGTTTCAATTCCTACCCTCAAAATAATGCTATAGAGCAGGGGTCCCCAACCACCGGGCCGCGGACCGGTACCGGGCCGTGGAGCACTCTTTACCGGGCCGCAAAGAAAAAAAAATAAAAAAATGGCGGCTTTCTTCGCCTTCGGTGAATGCTGCTGGGATCGGGGATCAAGGACACAAATGAAAGAAGGGGAGGGAGGAAGCAACCGAAGCCTGTCCTGCTCTCTGGCTCAGCTCTCTCAGTCGCTTTCTCGCTCCTCCACCAGCCCAGGAAGAAACTGCTTCGAAGAAGCCGGGGGGGGGG